TGCTGAGGGGGAATTTTGCCACCTCTACACAGCTCACAGTGAAATTGGTAGTCCCTCCATATTGGACGCGAAGTCCAGTTAAGAACATCTCTCCTCCTTTTTCCTCAGTAGGATATTTGGCTGCTCAGGCTCTAAGAGCTGCACTTTTTATAACATTCAGTATATCCCAGATGAGCACTGCTGCTCTCTGAGCTTTGGAGGATAGAAACAAAGCTTCCAAAAACGAGAGGGAAAATGAGAATGAATTACTAGGATGAAGGCTTTTTAGCTGATTGAGAGGGCTGCTGGATCAGGTGAGCTTTTAAAGTGAAAATAAAAAAAAAAAAAGTAGATAAAAGGCATTTACTTTCTCACACATAGTCATGAATGTTAGAGGGGAATTTGTGAAGAGATCAAGATCAGTAACAACTATTAAATTATTCAGTCTGATATTATAGGTCCTGATTCAGCTGCCCCAAATCATACTGCAAAGTCCCCATCCCCTCACTGCATAGCCAGGACAAGGAGCTACTGTCTGTCACCATGAATGCCACACTTAAAGGTCCCAAGTTAAATCACAATCCCATTTTCTGGTACTGAATGAAAGATGCATCAACAGGGAATGAGGGTGTAAACATTTTACAATCACTTTACTCTAGAAAGACGTGAGAAAAAAATCCCAAGTGCAAGGAAGTTAAGGGACTTTCTTCAGACTTGCTCGTTAGGGCAGTGGGAGAGTCGATAAAAATAAAAAGGTTGCCTGACCCTGCACACCATAGCTGAGATGACCACACAGAATAAGCTGAAACTAAGATGTTATAGTGTAACATAAGTGTTAGATTGGGCCAAACTAAAAATCATGTCCCAGCAGAAGTACTTTGTATGCTGCCTCTTACCTGGAGCCTTTGAAAGGGGTGTAACGCAAAAAATGGAACAGGGCCTAGATTTGGTCTGTGACCTTGTACTAGTTGCTTAATTTGTAAATGCGAAAAAACATCTCTGCTCTTTTCAAATGCTATGAACGCACTAGTATATAAAGTATAAATGGTACTGCTATACCCAGGTGATCAACAGCAACCAGCACATTTGTGTTCAAAGAGTGCCAGCAAGACATGCAATCTATCTCGGCTCTCAGCTGCTGCAAACAGGGATTTATCCATTGACTTTATCAGATAAGTGCTGATTTCAAACCAGAAACCATCTGTTCCATTTGTTGGGAGACAATGGAGGAGGTTCTTGACATCATTAAGAACAGATCTTACTTTCTATAGTGGTACAATTTTACCTTGGATCATTTAAAGAGATCAGTGAATAGCATCTTATTTTATCAAATTGCTTTGAATTCCGATGGCAACTTTTTTTTTGATGGCTGCTCTTCAAAACCATTGAATTCATGTTGGCATTTTGCCTGGGGTCAAATCTACATTAATATAAACAAGCAGTACATGTGCTCATCTCTCCAGAGGTCTCTCTCAATTTACACCAGGGTAGCCGAGAGCTGATTTTGGCTTGCATTCAGTACCAAAACTTCTTCTGTTTTCAGAGTACAGAATAATTTGTCTGGCAGATTATATTGCCGTTTTGCTACTTGACAGGCAAAATAAATGGATTATTAATTAAGATTATTATTAAGAATTTTTTTTTGTCCTCTGAATTTTGATTATCTGGTCCACTGACTTTCTCCATCACATCAGCCCAGCGTCACTAACTGCAAATAAAAATCTGTGCATAAACCAGCTCCTTTTCTCCCTATTCTCTATTTTCTCTCTATTTTGCATCATTTTGGCCTCACAATAGGGATTCACACTAATCATAAGCGGTGTAATTTTTGGCAGTCTTGTTGCAGCATGCTTGTCATCCTCTTTTCAGCTCCCCATGTCTGAGCATGCACACCTAGAGTGCCATAATGCTCAAGCAATGCGCTGCCCATTGTATTTTTCTTCCTTCTGTAATGTATGTAGAATTGCTGGAGGCAATTTCTATTAAGCCCATAGAATAGGGGAGGAAGGAAAGAGAGAAGTATCATGTTTTTGGCCTTGGGCTGGAAAATTTTACTGGGCATATTACCCCAGCAGTGTTAGGTAAGAGGAGATTCACACGTGATTATTATAGTCACCCCTTTCAGGTTCAAATTCTGTAGACTGCAGATCAGCATGGAGATCTGCTGTGCTAGCTCCAGAACAGCCCAAGAGGGGAGCAGGCATAGTTTAGCCACAGTGTTACAGAGCACAGCGTAGCCTCTTTTCGCCGCTTCTGGAGGAAATGAGTCCATGTGGGCTGCCACACTACTCAGATGAGACCACTACCGGTATCAAAGCTGGCTTCCTATACATCACTATGGTCTTCAATCTGTAATCTGCAGTAGTGCAATCTATGACTGTAGCGCTGAATGACCTCTCTGCTAATACCAAACAGCTACAAAGCCATTTTAGCAGGATTCCTGGGGGTCCCCTTCTGCAGAGGGAAGTTCAGGGAAATAGAGACCAAAGGGCAGTGTTTATGCCATTCCAAACTGGTGTCTAGGTTGGGAATTACTTTTCTGAAACAAACCACTCCCAGGAAACTCTTTCAGTGGTGATGGAAGCCAGGGTTACTAGTTGCTAGCAGTACCCTAATGATCAGTGTCAGCATAACCAACCTCCAGGCAGCTACAGGAATAGCCTGGTGCCTTCAAACTGCTTCTACCTTTTTGCTGAGGACAAGAAAGATTTAGTAGCAGCTTTTAAGTCTAGTGGTAGTAAGGACATTAAACTGGCTAGAGGTTTCAAAGTGTTCAGCCTGAAGAAGAAAAAAATATTCCCAAACTGCATAGTGTGAAGAAATATCTTGGCCATGATGTTACATATTCTATGTCCAAAACCTTTTCTCATTGAACATGCCAACAGGAGAGTTGTCTTTCTTTTGCCTGTGTCTACAGCAGTGCCTGAGTGGAATGTCAGAAACATCTGGCAGCTTTGTGGCCTATGCCCACTAACTTTACATCCATTCGTGACTGCCAAAGCTTGTGTTGCAAATCAAATAGTATTTTTTAAATCACCAGCTGGAACAAGGAACATGGGAAGATGTTACAGAGAGTGTTCTAGCTCAGGAAGAGGCTTCCTGACTTGAAAGATCTCGCTCGGTGCTAGATATTTGGCAAAAAGGTTAAAAGCAGCTCTGCAGAAAACAAACAAAAAAATGGATATGAGGAATTTAGTCTATAGATTCACCATTCATAAGGAAGGTTCTTGCCACACATGTCATTGGGACCACAGGTCTTGTGTCACTTAGTCTTGAAGCACCAAACAGCAAGCCAGGGAAAGACATGCCCTTGGAGTCTAAGACTTCTCTGCAGGACCTTCATTTACAGAAACTGGTTTTAAATGAGCCCAGATTGAACCCAACATCT